CTTGAACTTTGTCAATGTATGCAGTACAAAATGTTCTAAGATTTCTGGATTTTTCCTCAACATCAGTCTGAAGTTACATATAAGGTTGACCAGGATGGAATTTAACATTATGGGACGATGGTCTAAGCAGATTATTATAAAAAATAAATGCTTTAATTCTATAAGCATATGTCAAATTTCATATGGTTATGTTTGTTGCCTCTTCTTGATACTTCAAATTTGCAAATTGATGAAAAATAATAAAGTGGACTTAGAGACAGGATGCAGAGTCTCTTGGAAATGATACACTCGTGTTGAGTCTAGTTTCTAAATCACTCAAAATTATTACTTGCTTTAATTTCTACTATAGTTTTCTACCTCAGATTATCTGCCTTAGTCTTCTTGCAAAATTCTGTACTTCAATTTACGTTGTAAACAAGTCTTGCTTGATACAATGGAGAATGATGTTTTCCTATAACTCCCATATTTTCACACAATGTACCAAAATCAGCTGCTTCAGTAATGGTATTCTCTCACAGCATCAATCTTCTCCCTCATCAAGTCCATCTTAGAACTGAGAAACACTATCTTTCTCATCGCCCTCACAACGCACATCTGATGTCTTCTTCACAAACGCTGAATTCAACTCCCATAGACCTTGGTAGGACTTGATGAATAAGGAAACTGGAATCTGTAGCCATTTGGGGAAATATGAGTACAAGTACAGTGGGAAATACAGGCAAAAGTTAACAGCTACCTACCTACTCATGCAAAATTTACTTTTTTCCCTAGATTCCATGCCCCCAGATAATCAGGCCAATGTCTAGATTAAGAGTATTTTGGATTTCACCATTTCTAGATTGTCAAATACCCTCCGCTGTCAAAAATGCTTCCTTTGCATCAATCAGAAAGTTTGTCCATTAAGAAGAGTATCTGACATTTTTTAAGTTTTCAACGTGGAGCACTCTAACAATGAAAAGCTAAAATAAGTCCAAAAATCCTCAATTTTTTTCTCATCTAATATCAGCCAGTTTGATGCCCTGATCACTACATGAAAGCTTCCCCAGTTCTTCACTTAATTGGGGGATTTTAAGCCATCTTTTTGCTCACTCTATTCTGGAGTCAGCAGCAGATGGCTTCGTAGCTGTTACTCATTATCATTTTGAATAAATTAACCCGCAAAAATTCCCAAAATAATCCTGGCATGTACAAGTTTTGAGGCAGGACTGTCATTTGCACTCTGGCTCTCACTCTCTTCTGCAATCCAACATCTGAGGTATAGCCTGAGGTATTGATGAATTGCTGTCTGAATTCTCAGGTAGTTTTTTTTTGTCTGATATTAGAAAGGCTCAAAAAAAACAGTGAAAGGAATGGAAACATACGTGAGGAGCTCACCTCTCTATCTGAAAGGTGCATTTCTTACTAATGGAACAAATTATCTGAAACTTCTCCTTCTTGCTAAAGGGCAAGACCTCAGGAGGAACTGCAACAAGATGACAATGTCAATCCCAGAGTAGAGATGGGTGGTTTTTTGACTTCTGGTCTGAGCAGTAAAGTTCCCTTTTCACCAAGATGTACCTCAACACAGACCTCACTGTCTTTGGAACAAAATGCAAGGCTGTATAGCAAAACCCACAACACTAAAAAGAGAGCAAACTCAAAACTGTCTAGGCGGACATGAAGATAAAGAATGGGCACCGCAGCAGCTGAGGTTGGTGCCTGAGGGCTGTCACAAAGAGAACCGCTGTCTCCGCTTCACAACCGGAGCACAGAGGTGGCTGATATGAAACGGCACACCTCCTCCACACTGCACCCCAGAACTCACCACTCATGCTGAGAGCTACCTTCAGCCCCATAACCACACAATCTAGAGTTTGGAAGAGCTCTGGGAAAGCATCTGAGCAAGGTCTTCGTTTCAATTGCAGTTCAGTCCCCATCTATGCTGGGCAAATCAAGAAAATTGACTGACTTGATCCACCTTTAAAGTGGGTTTAAATCTAGTCATTAAACATGGAAGGCTGCTTAAAGGTATGTAATTCAAGCAGCTTTCTTCAGGTGCCTCTGGTGTTGCTCTGAAATTTGGGAGAGTAAGTTTTTCTTCACCAGTCTCCTTTAGATGCTCTAGCAAACCAGCCAGTTGTCAGGTGGGGCGTACCACGACGTCGAAGTGATGCACAGGCTATGCCCACCACAACAAACTAGCAGTGTGCTGCCTCTGAACTTTGCTGACATTGCACTTTTTCAGGGTCTAAATCAAAATTCCAGGTCATGCCACTTTTACTCATGATGAGGTTCACCTTATTCTTCCTAGGGGTTACGAGAAAAAAAAAAAGAGTTGGAAGGTAAAGCTCTCACAAAATAACGGCTAAGGTGAGAGCCCAGAGAGAGAAATTAAGTAATCTTCTACTACTAACACTAAAAGAAAAGGCCAGATTTAAGAAGAAAATCCTGAAAATATATTGTCCTCACATACCTGATGGTAGCTAATGAAATGAGATGCTGTAAAGTGATACCAGGAAGTTGCTTCTGTCAATGTGTAAGAATAGCAGAAGAAGAACTGGTGGTAAGAAAGCACAGACAGCATAAACGTGGGGACCACCTGACCAGCCTCACTGCACTATCAAGATACATATAGTACTGACCTAGAATAACAAACAGATGAATTTTATGAGCTGATGCCAAAGTTGCTTTAAAAAATCTATTATATTTCTGTTAGCTAGAAGAGTCTCTAAAAATATTGCCTCTTCACAGATCCTGCATTGAGAATGGTGAATTAGGAGGTGGTAAAATAAATGACAGTGTGAATCACCTATGGGGTAGCAACCTATCACTGATGGTGTGAGAGGAAACAACGTCTTCTCAGCAGAACTGGTGTCAGGATCTAGAAAATGAAGACAAATATGCAACAGAAACTGCAACTTGTGACTTCAACAGTTGCAAGTGATTCAGCCCAGGAACAGGTGGCAAGCAAACATTTTGCAGGTTATTTAAAATGCAAATTGTTCTATAAATGCAGCAGCTGGAGCACAGGTAACATCTGATGTAAATGAGTGATCTGCTTTAATCAAATGGTATGGTTAGAGAAAAAAGGAGAAGAAAAAAATACTGCCTCTTTTTGTTTCTCTAAATGCTTCACATTTCAATCCCCATTACAGTTGTTCTCTAGGTTAGTGGGGGAATGAAAAAGCAGGTTATTTTAATGGCACCTCAGTATAAAACCAATTCTCTAACCACCACATTAAAAATTAAACAGCTTTGCATCTTTAATGCATACTTTCCTTTTTAAAGAAGGAATCAACACTTGTGTGGTAGAATGTGTTTTTGCTGCATCCAATGAGCAGCTGGAAAAAGATACAGGAAGCAGCAATGGAGAAAATACAGAATGAAAGAAAATACGTTAAAAAAATAAAAACCAGAGAAAGCAGCATTTGTCACTTACTGGCAGGAAGTGACAAATCCTCAAAAACCAAGAAGGGCAGCAGGGAGGCCTAAATGTTGTGTGTAAGAAACTACAAATAACAACACATCTTTGAAAACACCATCATTTTACTTCCATTGGATTTGCCAGTTTCTCATAATGAACCCGACTCATTGTTAGCAGTCTTTGTAGTTAAGCCAACAAAAAACATAGTATAACATTGATATGGTCTCAATCCTGTCAACCTCTGTGACAATCCTTCTGTGTCAATCCCTCTGGATCCAGGGGTGTACACATCAAGTCATAGGGCATTGTTCACACAATATTATTCCAGGCAGTGCTGAAATACACCTTACACCAAAAAGTAGCCCTTTCTGATTTGGACAAATCACTGGAATCTCCTCCCTCCTCCCTGTCCCAAATGTCCTTCACTGGACTAACTTTTAAGTAGACACAGAAAAAGGTAGAGCAAAAAATTATATAGAAACTGGCACACAGAGTTGTTTTTGCTTGCAGCCTCTGGCCCCAAAAGTTGAATCTACTTGCTCCTATGTGACTAAGCAAGTTTTCACTCCCACTCTCCTCATCAGGCAGGCATAGCCTGTATACTTGAGCCTCCCCAAGCACATGGTCTGCTTTATCTTAAGAGTCCCTGAGGAGCAAACATAAGAGGACATTGTGGTCCATTTTAGACTCAAACATGCACTGCAGTGCCTTATTTGTGCTGCAGCAGCAGAAGTCTCTCAGTGCATTCTGGAGCTTCCCTGATGGTGGTGTAGTTCTGTGCAGTAGTGTGAGAGTGCATCCAAAGTACCTACATCACCAGGGATGTATATGCCTACATCCTCGTTCTAGTCAATACAGGGTTGATTTGCAACCAGGCAAGCACACATTTTCAAAATGTACTCAGCCCTGTGGAGACCAGAATTTCATTTTCCTTCATGCCTTACCTCAGGAAACAGACTGAGTAAAGAACAGCCCAGGGACTTTGGCCACTTTCAAATATCTGCACTGTAAACTAGGGCCCTCACTTCTTCTCATTTAACACAGTAAAGCTACTCTGAATCCTGCAGGAAGCCTACTCTGTCCCAAAGGTCCAGCTTCCACCCCCATATCATCCCGTGGGCACTTGCAGTGGTTACCTCCCAAAGGAAGACGGTGGAATACTGACTTACACATTTTTTTTGCCTCACCTACTAATGAAAATCAAGAAACAGATAAAAGTGCAGGGGGTAAAATTCTAACATGCAGCTGAAGTGTAATGTGTGAAGCAGCGGGACGAGAAGTTTTGATGTCCTGGCAATACACCCAGAAGCTTTCCTGGAACTTTTCTGCCCTTGCAGTCAAAGATGCTTTGTCAAACATGTGGGTACCCATGGCGTTACCAGGATTCATTTAGGTGTGAGAACACGGGTATGATAAGCCAGGAACTTTCCGAACATCATCTTAAGGAGTAGATAAAGCACGTAAACCAGAGACGCACACTTTGGCCACCGTGTCCTGGGTCTGGGAGAGCCGGGTAGGGTGTGGAGGAGGATGTTTTTTCCCAAATTCTTTAGTTCAGCTCGGCTCGGAGGTCTCTCCCTCCCTCCCTCCCCCTTACCTGAGCCGCCCACGATGGACCGCAGCAGACAGGTTCTCCGGGAGGAGGAGAAGGAGGAGATGTCGCTTTGGGAGCGGCCGCGGGGACCGGGCAAGGACCAGACGGGCAGCAGTGCTGCCCCGTTGCTCCCCGGCCTCTCAGCCATCGCCGACCGGGAGCCGAGAGTTGCAGGGAGGAGAGAAGAGGAGAGAGAAAGAGGCGGCGAGGGAGGGGACAGGGAAAGTTTGTAGAGGAAGAGCCGCCTCCCTCCTCTGACCGCCCCGCAGGGACGCCGTCGACCTTTTGGGTCTCTGGGAACATAAAATTAGTGTTTGCACAGGAGCAAAGCGAAGTGGAGGCGTAGGTGCACGGATGCCCCCATTCCCCGGGGTGTCTTCATGCTCCTCGCTCCCGTCATTTCCAACTCTCGGGGGAAAAAAAAAGACAAAGAGAGTCAGTTAAAAAGAGCCAAGCAAACCACATTGCCAGTTCTGTTTTGTGTAATAGGGTGCCCTGCCCCCTCCCCCCGCAAAACCAGGAGGTTGCACAAGGCATCGCACCCCTGCAAAAGAGCGAGGAGAGCGATGAGTCAAATATCTCCCCCCTATCTTTCTTAAAGATTGGGTTGCACGCAAGAGGCTTTACTCCACTAACTCATGGAGGAAGGTACTCTCCTGCCTTTCAAATCGGTCACACGGACTTAAGCAGAAGCAAAATCAAGTTCTGTGCTTTCATTTTCTGGTATTTTACAGAAATACTTTTACAACAAGATGCATCTTTAAAAGGATATTTAATGTTTATACTGCTTTTTACAGGTAAATCATATTATATTCTACCTTGAATAAAATCCTTGCTGTCCTGAAGCCCCAATGGCAAAGACAGACAGGACTGCACCCCATATTTTTAACACATCCAGTGCTGCATTATCCAGCTATCTAACATGAAAGTTGCATTCAGGCTGTATTAAACTACCACAACTACCAACTGCCACTCCCCATGTCTGAATCAAAATCTATCAAGTCTGAAACGTGTCCATGTGAAATTCAGTTTCTGGTTTCTGCTTCCACTCAGGCAAGCAAGTGCCTTCCTCTCAATAACGAGTCCCACACAGCTCCCCAGGCACAGTGGTTTTGCAGTCTTCCCAGCAGTCACACGATGCAGGCACCCTTCCCTTTGTCCAAGCAATCGATCCAGTACAGGAGTCTCGTATGTCAGCCATTAGTCAGGTCAAAAGGTCTCTTCTGCTCAGCATCTCCCAGAGAATTGCCTTCATTATTCCCTCTCCTTCCCTCTGCTGACAGACCAGCCTGCTCCTTCCTCAGCCACAGAACTTTCCCAGCAGGACTGTGCTATGAGAGGGAGAGGCAGGGGCTTCTCCTGGAAGGGCACAGCAGTGAGCTCCCTGCTTACAGACGCTCCCATGGGAGCCCAGAGGCTCCAGTGTCACACAGGCAGGCACACTGTACCCAGGCTTAGAGAGCTTTTTGCAGCTGCTGACACCAGTCTTGTGTTATTCACGAAATCTTACAATGTGCTATTTTTATTATTTACCCTGTGCAGCTTGCATCATTACAGATGTGATTGTACACCGAGGACTTTCCCTCACTGGAGATTTCAGTGGCTGGGCATGTGTGGGCTAATGACATTTTCTGAACCTGTTTAAGCCTTAATTAGAAGTGTACTCATGGCTGCTATTTACTGTTTTCCACATTTATTTTTTTTTAAGTTTAAAAGATGTGATTAAGTTCACTATTGAAATACACAGTTCCTGCTCCAAACCTCATCGAAGTTGATGGCAGGTCAGTGAGCTTTGGGTCAGACACCTGAGCTTTTTTAAAATAGTTTTTCCTTCCAAACATTTTGAGCCACAGAGCACCAGTAACTTTGTTGTGCTATTCAGAATGTATGCTTGAAAATTCCCACATTAAGGAGGTGCTCAGTGTCTGCAATCCCTTGGTGTGATCAAAAAGGAGAACATGAAGAAACAGAAAGATAAACTAGAAGAGATACCATAGCAAGTGGTCAAGGCATCTAAAGATTCCTTTTGAGGAGCAGTGACATCTAAAAGGGTGAAGGCAAAAGAAGACATAAAGTCGGTCAACGTTGAATGTAAAAGAGATATGAAGAGGCTCCTATTGTAATATCAAAGTGCTTTTGTAAATCAGAGAAATGTGAACAGTCAGTCAGAAAGAATAATACCATGGAAGTCACAATGGTTTTTACTTGCCTGTAACTTAATATATTCATCAAGGTGTATAAATGAAAATATTACAAAATCATACACATCCTATTTTCACAGCCCTTTAAACATTTTTTGAATTAGCTATAACAACTGTGGTTAATAGCTCTGGAAACTGAAGCTCTGTTTCCATAGAACAGCAGTAAAGTATACATTCTTCTCAGCTGGAGAGAGATTAATTCAGTTGCCTCGTCATTCATTTTCAACTATTCTGATGACATTGCCAAAGACATTTCCATTTGTATTTGCTGATTAAACCAAATTATTTTACAAAGGCTGTCCCATGATGTCTAGGGCTTGAAGCAAAAATACAGAATTCGGGCATGAGGAAAGACTGGACGAGCACCAGCCCTGGCAACAAATTTGCTGGAAATTTTAACGTACGTGGCTGCCACCCCTTATCCACATCACAAACGCCAAGTTTAATCTACCGAATCGAGACCACTTCAACACAGGCCATTCTAATGATCAAAGAAATATCTCCTTGAGAGGTTTTGGGGCACCTCTCTACCCTCGAAGCCACCATGTCCAAGTCGGCTGGAAGGAGCTGCAGAGCGATGAACGCCACACGCTGTCCTTCCTGGGAAGGGCAGGGAAGCTGAGCCTGTGGACGGAAGCAGGCGGGAAGGGCAAAACCAGCAAGCTGCCGAGGCCGCCTTTGGAGCAGACTCTGGCTGCAGATCCAAGGCTCAGCCCTGGATCCGGCTGTAGATCCAGCAGGCCCCGGCAGGAGCTTTCGAGCGAGCGCTGCGGGGAGGTCGGTGCTCCGAGGGGAGGAGCCGC